TGGAAGGGAAAAAGGTTTTTAGGTGTCTATCTCCCCGTCGTTTTTGAAGTCAACAAATGTGGGGATATTTTTAGTATGCAAATTTATATATATGTATGTATGATTTTGCAGCTCTTGCTTAGGACATCATTACGTATTTATGGCCTAGTTATTGATTACATATTTACTGTCCCGTTATTGATGATGGGTTTTCGAATGGAAATTGTGCATTAAACATCATTGATTTTCTTAAAAGAGAAAAACATGAATTTTATCATGGCATGTGCATAGCATGAGCATATGCATTTCAATCATTTTTATACCCTGTTAATGGTATTCTATTTGGCACTAGCTCACCCCAATCTAACAAACTTTCAAGTCTTAATGATGTGATTCCACTCCACTGGTGATCTTGTGGAGACTTTTGATGGAGTACTAAGGTTCCTTGGATGTTTATGTGATTACAGCTACTGAGCTTACTTGTTTGGAAAAGTATTCCACTTATTTGTAATCAAAGTCGCCTTGAAATGTGTAAGCCCATAGGGCATTTTGTTGTATTTTCTCTTATTTTGCAAATTTCATATATATTGTTAAATTCTTAAATCTTGCAGGCATAGTATATAAATGTAAGCTCTTATGAGAATTAAATTAGAAAGTGTTATATTTAATGAAAGGAAATATTTTCCTTAATGCGTTTTCTTATGAGCAAATGGATTCATTTGATGGTATCCGGTGAATATTTAATAAAATTGATTATATAAAGGATTATAAATTTAGGGGCGTCACAAAATTTGAGTAGAATAGAGATAATGGATTTGGTAGGGATTTTAGATGGAAGTAGTTGTGGATTTAGTTGGTTGGAGAAAAATAGTGAATATAGATAAAAGGAGACCTCAGTATATATTCATGATGTCGAACACTAGGCATACATCGAACACTTAGTTAGATTTGTCCAACCCCTAACCCTTCAACATTGTTGGAATACACCCCCATAATGTAAACATTTCGTTGAATATTTGACATGCAAAAATTGATCCATTGCTACAAACACAATACCAACGGCCATAAGAGGGAGCATGTAGTGGCTGGGGTTCAATTTCATTCATCCATCGTAAAATGGATGCATTTTCCGATGTAGGATTAATAGAGGTAGATTCTTTTCTCTTTTTTTTGGTTAAAATGGCACCTCTCTCTGGTAGCTTTGTCTTACTGTGGCACCGTTAGTGTGTCAATCACAACGGTGTTAGTGTAATGAAAATTGTCTTAAAGAGAGTTGGTGATGAAGATAAGTGAGGATGTGAGTGTGTGGGCAGGTATGGTGGTGGTGGTGGTGGTGGTGGAAGAGATGGGCATGGGAGGGAAGTGATGGTTGTGGATGGTGAGTTGTGGCCAGACTTTTCTTTCGAGTTGGCTCATGGATCAGCTATCAGTACTACTAAATTGTGTAAGGCAATGATGTACCACCAAAAGTTAAATTCTTTGGTTAGTTCGCCTGGAAGGGTAGAGTGAAAACAACAACATACCTTTAAAGGGTGGGAATTCTGAATTCCAGTGTGAATAATATGTGTCTATTCTACAGTGAGAATGAGGAATCTATTAATCATATCCTTCTTTATTGCCCTTTGGTATGGAAGGTGTGGTCCGAATTAGTGGATTGGTGGAATTTGTCTTGGGCCATACCTGGTTCTGTTGGTGAGTGGTGGTCGAGTATAAGATTAAATAGGTTGGAAATGAGGTATGTGTGGAAGGTAAGAAATGAGTGTTTGTTCCAGGGATTATAACCAAATTTCAAGGCACTTGAGGAGTTGATGAAAATTAGAATTGTTCTTTGGTTGAAATATTTCACAGTAAGGATGTCTTATTTTGTCAATGACGTGGTCTTCAATCTTCAGAAACATACCTTCTGAATGAATATCATGCAAAATTAACTGAAAACTTTGAACTTGAGATATTACCGTTTGGGAGTCTACCATAACAAAGTCCAGAAATTTACCGACGACAAATTTTTTCGTGCCGGCATCTTCTGTCTTGTATTTCTTCTCCAAAGAATCCCACAATTCTTTTGCTGTTTTCAGAGGACTGTATACATTATACAGCATATTGTCAAGGCCATTTAGGATGCAGTTTCTGCACAGGAAATCTGAATGTTTCCAAGCATCTACAGCGGCAACAACTTGCCGATCACTTTCACCCTCTTTAAGTGCTGGAGCCTCTTCATGGAGAAACCGGGCCAAATTAAGAGTTGTAAGATAGAACAGTGTCTTCTGCTGCCATCTCTTAAACTCAGTACCGTTAAATTTTTTCGATTTTTCTCCATGATTGATTGGTACATGAACATGGTTCTGGATAGGGACTGGAGTTGTTGTAACGATCAAATTTGGAGTACTACTTTCAACAACCATAATATTTGATTACAAAAATCAGAAAAACCAAAAACAAAATAATTTTCTAGTTACTCAAACCAGAAAATAAAAAAATAAAAATACCACAATAATTTTCTGTAACATAAATTAATATTCTGCAATTGTTAATGACACCAGTATATTAGTACTAGTTGTCAAAGAAAAGAAACAGTATATAACTACTATTTGTCATATAGTATATTACTGCTATTTGTATTTTTCAACCAGAATATCACTTTAAGAAAGCACAGAAAAATAAATACAATGAAGACACCAAAATTAGTCTGTTTTAAGATTGTTGGACAATCTTCACTGTATGAATAAATTATGTTTGCGTACTTAACAACAAACAAAAGAAATAAAGAAAAGGAGAGAGATTGTTTGATTGCAAAAATCAAACCAGAATATAAAATAAATAAATAAAATAGATTTTTATTTTATTACAAAAACAAAATCAAAATCAAAATCTGAAACAGAAAAAATAATAAAAATAAAAAGTAAATTAATTACTTACCAAATTGATTTATTAAACAAAATTCTGATCAAGTCTAGTGTTTAACACTATGTCCTTAAGACAGTTTCGTCCTCTCCACGGTGTTTTTAGATTGTGGACGTCTATGTCCTAGGATAAAATGATCAACTGCGAATAATAGTAGCACTACAAATTATTCGTACAACGAACACACTTTGTGTTTACACTCTTTTCTCACAGAAAATTAAATGCAACAAAATGCAAAGAGAGCAAGCAGAATTTTTGGACGAAAATTAAGTGAAAAAACCAAGTGAAGGACTACCTATTTATAAATGTAAAGGTGGCTGTACAGATTTGAATCCAACAGGTGTGGTTTGAATTTGAACAGGTAAGGCACTGTTTCAACAGATGCGAACTGTTTGGGTGGAGGGAAAACTGGACAGATTTCGGAATTAATTTCGAATTTTGGATAGATTTTATTTTACTAAAAAATAAAATTAAATTCAAATATTTTTTGTCCAGAAAGATAGGTATTAGGCCGTACAAGCCCAACCCAACCTCACACCACGCACCCGCACCCATGCCCAGCCCGCTTGGATGGATGGTGGTGCACGTGTTTATTTTGGATTCAATGGGTCTAGCCCACTTTGCCCATAACTTCCTGCTCTACAAAACTTAGGTGCCCCTTGGGGCCTACCCCTAGTTCTAAACTCAAGCCTTATAAACCCACTCAAAGGTTGCCTACCAAATTAACGTGGGACAAGCCTTAAACCAAACCTTTAGGAAATTTCACCAAAAACACCATTTCCATAGAGTTCTCTTTGGGTTTAATTTCACATTCACCCGATAATGATTTTGAGCAACCAAATATACCACGTGAATCACAACGCGGCATAAAACGCGTTACAACTTAGTTCCGCCAACTTTGGCATATGGGTCTCACCTAAAAAACAGACCAAAGTTAAGGCAAAATCATATTTTCCAAAACCATTTCTTACATGTCATTGGATGGAAATAGGATTGCTTCATCCATGAACGACATTTCCTTTCCGATGCCTACAACTGATATATTGCTTGCCTACTACAGGTACACCCTTCTTGATTCTCATTTTTCCTTTTTGTTATGTTTTAATTTTAATTTTTTAAAATTTTTCTTTACTTGGTTTTGTTCTAAAAAAAACATGATGACTTGACAAGTAAATAGTAAGGCTGTGTTTTTTATCAAAAAATTGAGTAGGGATTTTTGGAGGGGAAGGAAAAGAGTAGGAAAAAATGAAAAAATAAAATAAAAATAATAGTTTCAGTTTCATACACTTTTCCATGAAAGTGATTGTTTGCCCAAATACTTAATGTTTATCATGTTGGACAACCTTTACTGTATTACGAATAAATTATGTTTGTGTACTTAACAACAAACAGAAGAAATAAAGAAAATGAGAGAGATTGTTTGATTACAAAAATCAAACTAGAACATAAAATAAATAAATAAATAAAAACAAATTTTTATTTTGTTACAAAAATAAAATCAAAATCTGAAACAGAAAAAATAATAAAACAGAAAGTAAATTAATTACTTACCAAATTAATTTGTTGAACAAATTTTATTAAACGCTGTTGTTGCAACTTGCGCACTGGGAAATGTCTTCTCAACTTGTTATAATGTCCTCCCACGGAGTCCACTGCCCGGGTCACTTAAGAACATTTCCACCATTGCAGCTCGTAGCCCAGTTGGGGTCAGCCCATCCATCGAAGTATTCACTTCTGCACCACGAATGTACTGCCTGATTATGAAGCACACGAAAATCCCACAATCCGACCTGCACTAACAAACACCGGTGTCAATGTCACAGACGTGATACATCATCAAAACAGTACGCTCAAAATAAAATGAACATTTCTTACGACTCTGGAACTTGTTGTGGGCAATCCACAACAGATACAAGCTCCGCCGACGGCCAAGCGTCCCCCCGGTCGGCCAAAACGGAAGAGAATTCCGTCCAAGGGGGAGGTAGTGCAACGTATACGTTGTGGTCGTTGCGGAAAAGTGGGCAATCACAATAGGAAGACATGCAAAGAGCCATTACAGGTGGGCTGCCATATGATCTGTCCGAACAAATCGAAGACGTTTTTGTCGGCGCAATGGGCGCATGGTATTACCCATGTGGGACAATGTTTTGATGGTGGAGCAACTGAATTCCGTGAAGTTCTGTGTAAGTATGCTGTTGAACGTGGATTTCAATTCAAGTACATTAAAAATGACTCTGTTCAAATTATAGTAGTTTGTAAGTTTGCAGCATCAATAGATTGTTCGTGGTCAGTTCATGCGAAGATGTTACCGTCAAGTGGGGTGTGTTAAGAGGTTCGATAGTGTGCATACTTGTGGGGTTGCTGTACCTAGTTGTAGGAACCCTCGTACGAGGTCTGATTTGGTGTCTACCGTTGTTGCAGATCGGGTGCGTGATAAGCCACTGACGCGCCCTACTGATGTTGTGTTTGATTTGAAAAACGAGTATGGTTTGGACATTAGTTACCGGGTGGCATGGTTGGGTGTTGAGAAAGCGAGGGGCGAAGTGTACGGGGATCATGCTACGTCCTTCGACCAGCTCAGGTGGTATAGCGATTTTGTTATGCAAAAAAACCCAAACAGTTACATTAACCTTAAGTTTGACCAAAAAATCGGGAGCTTCGTTAGGTATTTCATATCATTCTACGCTTGTATAGATGGGTTCAATCATTGCCGTCCTCTGCTATTTTTGGATGGAACGTTTTCGAAAGGTAGATTTAAAGGTAATTTGCTTGCAGCTACTGCTAAAAAGGCCAATCAAGGTAATGGTGTGTTATATTATTCCATTATTCTATATTTTCTACACGTACTAGTAAACAGTTACTTCCATTTTTCATTCGTCAGAAATGTTTTTTTTCTTTAACGAAGAAAAAAATATAACAACATTGAAATAGGGTCTCCTCAAATTAAATTGAACAGTAATGTAAGACATAATGGTAGGCTTATAAATTTTTATTTTCCAAAATGTGTCGCAATTTATTTTGTGTGGATGGTTGTATAACTTTACTCATGTCAAACTTTTTATGTTGCATGTTTCGTCGTTGGATTGTTTCCGGTAGCTTTTGCTATTGTTGATTCCGAGAATTCAGCCAATTGGGAATGGTTTCTTCATAATTTGAAGAAGTTGTTGGGGGCGAGCGGACATTAACTTTCATATCTGACCACCACGTCGGACTATTACACTCTATGCCAATTATTTTCCCTTCAGTGCATCATGCATATTGTTTGTTGCATCTCCAAATGAACTTGCAGGATCGAATGAAATATGTTAATGCATCGCACAAAATTGGGTTGATGCGGAAGTTGCGGGAATGTGCCTATGCGCCCACTGTTACTTGTTTTAATGAGAAATTTGAGGTATTGAAGAAGGCCAACCCAACCGTGATTGAAGATTTTATGAAAGACTTGCACCCAAAACACTGGTCTAATGCATATTTCAGGCACTTTCATGATCCGCTTAATGGGTTATGGCGTATTTTAAATTCTTACATGTTTTTTTGTAGTATGTTTTATTTTTGTCATTATAATTTATGCTCCATAAACGTTGATTTTGTTTTTTTTTAGGGGAGGGCGGTATGGGGAGATGTGCTCAAACGCTACTGAATCTTTCAACAATTGGGTCGGCGAGCCCCGGCATCTTCCTATCACTAGATTGGTCGATATAATAAGGGGTCAAATAATGGAGCAGATGTCAGACCGCCGAGTTGAATGCACTAAATGGGCCGGTGTAATTTGCCTGAAAATGGAGAAAAAATTGGTGGCAGCATATAATGACAGCAGGGCCTGGTGTGTGAGCCAGGCTAATGATGATGTGTACGAGGTTCACTCCAATCCATCGGTGTTGGTTGATGTCATCAAGCAGACATGTTTCTGTTTTCAGTGGCGGATAAACGGGTTCCCGTGTTCCCATGCTGTCGTTGCATTCCGTAATAGTGGGAGAAACATCTACGATTCAATAGACTCTGCATTCTCCATTGATACATTTTGAGCTATTTACAGCGGAACTATATACCCCATCCCAACAGTGGAGAGGCCGATGTTTAACCCAACTGAATGTTTGATAGCACTGCCGACGAGCAAGCGTCCTCCCGGTCGGCCCAAACGGAAGAGAATTTCATCCAAGGGCGAGGTAGTGCAACGTATACGTTGTGGTCGCTGCGGAAAATTGGGCAATCACAATAGGAAGACATGCAAAGAGCCATTATAGATGGTCTGCCATATGATTTAATTTTTTTATTAACAAACTGGGGTTTTGTTGTATTTTGTTTTCCGAAATATTTTCCATATTTTTTTCAATCAGTCATTAACTTTATGTTATTCGTTTAATCTATTTGGTAGGATATACACTTTTATCTAACCTAGCTGACATTTCGGTTCCCACTGTTCAACAATCACACTGCACCTTTAACACATAACCATTTTGTTTTCAAATCTGTATTTGATTAACACTGTAAAGACATGCAAAGAACCAATGGGTGCCGTTTTGTTTTCAAATCTGTGCACATTATACCAAACATTCACCCAAAACTGACACTACCAATTAATAACAGGAATCCCAATGGAATTTTTATGTTTCGGTATCTGCTTACAATTCAGTATCATTGTACAAAACATGTACCCAGTACCAACTGTTTTAAATAAATTGAATGCGAACATAATATTATGTTACGGTCAAACGGTGTCTTTACAATTCTAATTAAAATGGCAATGGGAAATTAATATTTTCTTATGCCATATTAAACACGTGTTCGACGTGCTCATTGTCTTTGCATGTCAACTTCTGTACACATCAAGCCACGCTTAATCCCATGGTGGCAAAACAGGTTTCCCAAACTCACAGTTGGCATGCCAACTTCTGTGTACATCATTCCATATTTACATACCCAGGTCCATCTAGCATTTAAAAACAATCTAATGGACATGCACATGAAAATGGAACACACTCTTAACATGATATTATGGAATAGGAGAAACTATTTGAATTACTTACTAAATAATATCACCATTCATGTCCAGAAAATAACGGATCCTAACCAACGATTAAACTGTTGGTGCACCAGTCTGCATGACCAAAAACTAATGTATGAAACTAGTTTTTCCCTTCTAATGTTCTGTGTTCACAGATTAACAAAACATTTATGTACGTCCATAAAACATCAAAAATAAAACATCGTAATCTTGTTGCCGCACCAACTGCAATGACTAACGTGAACACCTCTTATAATGTCCTCCCACGGAGTCCGCTACCTGGGTCACTTAAGAACATGTCCACCATCGCAGCTTGTAGGCCAATGGGGGTCAGACCATCCATCATAGTATTGACTTCTGCACCACGAATGTACTGCCTGATTATGAAGCACACGAAAATCCCACAATCCGACCTGCACTCACAAATACCGTTACCAACGTCACTTACCTGATACATCATCAAAACAATACACTCAAACTAAAATAAACTTTAATTACAACTCTGGAACTTGTTCTGGACAATCCACAACATATACAAAAGTGCCATCAAACAGGTCTGCCCCAACACCCTCAACTGTAATTCTTGGCTTCACAAAATTGTTGTGGTGGTTAGATACCCATTGTTTCTGTTTATTTTTCACATGTGAGTGTAGTTGTGTACACGGTAACATTAAAATTTTCAAAATTACAATCTGTCAATTATGCACGTTCAAAACTAAAATTGATAAACAGTACTTACAACTTTTAGAGCCTCATTGTAATGCTCATCGCGTAGTCCACGTCTTGGCCTCATTGAGTTGTAATGTTTCCCATTCCCATTTTCTGAATCGTGTGCCATGACTGTTCAATGGTTGGCATTGTAGATTGGAAAAAGTGTGTACCTGCAACCTCATGCAGCCTTCATGTGAACGTTCAAATACTTCGTTCGTGATACAGCGCTACTGTTTCGCATCATATCTTGCACAATTGTCCAAAACCACCCTAGTCGTATCAGATTTCATTACAGCAAATATTATTTTCATATTTCGTGCAATCAAACGATAGTCAAGATACATACCGAACAAACACTAGTGTAAATGTATGATGTCCCAACATATTCTGGTCTTCCAGACACCATCTTATGCATTTCAATCAACATTGCAGCGTATGCATCGATTACCTACAACATATGTTACCCATTAGAATTCCAGCGCACTAGTAATAAGAATTTGTAAATTTATGTCCATTATGTACTACTAGCATTTTGTGACTCCATTTACACATTCGTGACTGTGTGTTGTTAAATTCATTTGCCATTTCGTCACAGCCACGTCACCCACTTCACAAAGGAAACAATGTTCAGATCTGCATATGGCTTTTTTAAAAAAGAAAATAAAATACAAAAAACTCAACGGTTAATTTCACGAAACCAGCTTACATTCCCATGGATGGAGTTCTGCTGCACCAAATCTTTGATGTCTGTGAAATGCACTTGTATTCCATTGTGTCCACCATCCCATACTATTAACCTACACATGATAATCCAAAATTAAGAACCACCATAAAACACAGTTTACAATTTCTACATGTCAAAGAATACAACATTCCATACGAACAACCTACCTGTCCCCCTCTAAACTGTACATTCTCTGTAGTAGTTGCCTATCTTCATCCTTCAACATGTTCCACACAGTGTGCCTTCTATTCATACCAAAACCATTCCAGGTTTTACGCTCCACCTCGACGTCATCGACACTGTAAATCACCCCAGCCTCAATTGATTTACCTAGTCTCACATTGGGATTTACTTGTGGACGCCCAAATATGTCAGGATATTCGTAGTCAGATAACCTAAATTCCTGTCTTGGCTTGTTCTTCACCCACTTCACAAGTGACGTGATTTTTGGCCCAGAACTTGTTGCAGCTGTTGTGTGTTCACAACCAGCTTCCATGCCAACGACAGCTGCGCCATCTTTTACATCCACACCTGACACTGACTGTGCATTTCGGGGACTGCAGCTACCCTCCACCCCTTGCATAGTCGAACGTACATTCCCATGGGCAAAGTCAACTATCAAATCTTCAATCCCAGTTGTAGACGTCCCCGAACGTCTCGGGAGGGAATCCCCCGTTTTGTTCATTTGGGCTCGCTACAATTCAGGACTCAAATTGTCACGGTTCTTAATCTGATCTTGCAAAGTGCAATGCAAGACTGATAAATCACCAAAGAGTCCAAATCCGGCAAATCATTTTTTGGAAAACATATTTTTTAGAAAGAAGTCCCAAACATGGACTACTTTGCCAGATACAGAGTCGCCACCTAAATATTTTTTATGGGGGAATTTAGGAAACCCTGACTCGTTTGCCTAAGGCACGTGTCCGTCATCACCAAAGTTGCCTTGGCTCGGGAACTTGGGTACGATTGGGAAAGGTCAGCTATGAGCACCCCCGCTCGCCCGATCAAAGATCGGCCTCTACTAACCATGATATCAAGTTTTGAAAACGTTACGTGTTCTTAATCCAATTAATTAGCTAATCTTACTATGTGATGCGCACAACACAAAAGTATAGACTAGATCGCCTAATTTGGAACAAAGCATCGCATATCCATTGTTTGGAAATGATTTGAGGTTTGCTACTCGCAAGTAGGCTAAAATATGGATTTCGATGAATTATTTCAATTCAAACAATCCAACCTTCACCCACAGGCATTCAGGCAGTAAATCAACTAAGCGGTTAGCCTCATGACAAGCATACTTTCATGTTAACATTCACACTCATGCGAGATGCTAAAGCATAAACACTCACCTAGTACTCCAAGCCAAATCAAGGAACATATTAGTAATCAAATGTATGATCCAAGTCCATGTTAAGATGGCTAATGCATCGCAGGCAAAATGCAGCTAGAATAGGCTCGGCTAATCTATGGATGGCATGTGAAATGCAACAGATAACATGTATTCAAGTTAGATTTGAAATACTATGCAGTTAGTATGATGCGCCGAGCCCGGTGCATGTAATACTGATGAATGAATGCACACATGCATAGCATAAGGATGCTAATTAAAATATACCCCAATACTAACCATCAAAGCAGGTAAGTAAAAGGGAGAAAGAAGTAGGGGTTGGAAGACATGCATCACACACACGCACGCTTATTACACAATTCGCCCTCTCTCGGAGGGACCAAAAGAATAATACAAATTTAACTAACTAACAAGCTAATTAAATAGTTACAGACCACTTAACTAGTTAAGCAAATTAACTAAGCTAATAAAGCGGTAAAATAGCCTCGGGAAGAGGGTCCAATGTATGCATGCTCGGTTTCGCTCAGAAATCCACCACCATGCATAAGCTGCCTCTGTTTACCCTGCTCTGCTCCTCTGAAAATTGTGCAAGTCTCAATGATGCTCCAGAATCACTTCCTAATCACTGTGGAAGGTCACCGACCAAGAGGAAACACCACCGGCCAGGGGAAACTGGTCATCGACCATTGGTATGGCTCTCGGCCAAATATGTTTAGTCGGCCGGCACTCAATATGGTCGGTCGACCATATCTTCCTGCAGAATACTGTTTTGACAGCAGCAGAGGGCAAACTAGGCATGGCAATGCATTTTAAAGCAAATGTTTGCACAACCAACCTCCCCATCATGCTGTGAACTTAAGGGTGTGTGGCCCTCAACCCTCGGACCACCAATCGCGCATTTCAATACACGATGGTCCGAGGTGTCAAGTTATGCATTTTGATGTCAAATGAAATGCACACAAACACCTAAGGGGCCTAACCTCTATCATGGTGATTCAAAAGGCAAGGCATGCATGCCAAATGTAACCTAAGCATGCAAGCTAAGCATGCAATATGAACATGAGGGCAAACATGCACACATGCAAGCATGTAACAACATATCAATGGCAAAACATGCAACAACATGTTAGGCAACTAAAAGAGAGAATGCATGCCAAATGCATTACAACCTAAGCATGCAACAACATGCCATATAGCTCAAGCAATGCAACAAAATGCAATATAGCTAAGCATG